ACACTCAGACATATGAACGCACACACGTACATCCCTCCTGCCCCTGTGAGCACCTCGAAGAGGCTGACTCGGCACATCATCTTCAGATTGACAATTCCGTCACAGACGCCCTGCCCCTATGAGCACATGTGAGAGACTAAGCCGGCGCATCATCTTGAGATTGACGAAGTCACCACAGACGCCTTTCTAGTCGACTGGAACGTCTCCTCCCACTAAACACACATCGCCGGAAGGCCTGAAATAAATCCAGAAAATGTGGGCACCATTGTCAAATCTGAGACTTGAACTCTGGTGGTTAGAGGATAACACTGTTCTTCTAATCATTCATTGTTGATGCTGCAATAATCGTGTCATGTTGCTGTAATAATCGTCACGCGGACGTGCCCGCCCACATCTCCGCCCCCAGTCATTGTCTCAAAATCTTTCTTTGTCCACCACCTCTGTTTAGCCCTTGTCGTTGCCGCCTCGGCGTCCACCGCCCACGTCGTCTGCGCTGGCCGTGATGTCGCACCACGGTGACCCGCAGCTCCAGGCCGCAATCGGCGATCATCCGCGGGGCACGGCCACCGCAAAATTACGTGACACTGTCACACGGAGCTTTGCTCTCCCCAGGGAAATAAAGCGAATGGAGAACGTACACGGAAATATCACTGAATAATAATAATAATAATAAACGGACCGATCTCTGTAATCTGTATGTAGCCGCCAAGGCGGCAGAACCGGTCGACCGACTAGTCCCTCGAAAAAATGGGAATGTGGCAGCTGCCATGTCGACGAACCGCCGAACTAACAGCATTCCTCCCTTCAGCTGAGCACTCCCTTTCGCCGCATCGTGTCCGTCCGTGCAATCAAACGATGGATAGCTGGATACCGCGTACTACATACGGCGGCGCCGATCGATCTGGCCCGTTCAGACGTCTCGGATCTTTGCGGCTCCCACCCAGATTCATCGAACGGTTCCGGCCTTGCGTGCGACGCGAGACGGCCAGAGCACAAAATCCCGAAGAAATATCGTCGCATATATTCTGCAGACCAACAACGTGAGCCGGATCATTTCAAAATCACATCTTCGTAGGAAGACACAATTATTCCGCCAGCGAACCGAGCGGCGGGCCGACGGATGAGCTGCCGTTGGGACTAACCGTAGAACAAAACGAACGGGCCTGCCGGTCGGGCTTTAGGTGCACCTAGAAGATTCTTCCAGGGCGATGGCGATGGCTACCTCCCCTGGCTCTTCCAACTGAAGGTTCCAGTTCCACGAATTGAATACAGGTGACGGGCGTGCCTCAGGGTACTGCACGTTTGGTCGGCCCTCCTCGTCCTCGGTCTCCGTCGAAGAAGATGAAAAATACGTGAGCACGGCCGTGCCATGTTCCACTGGCGCCTACCTTGCTTGGAACCACTTGCAAACTGCATGCGACACACAAGTTGGCGGGAAAGTCCGTGGCGTGCGTGCCATCTCCGCCGGGACAAGCGTCTGTGCCGACCTCGCGTGGAAGAGCACTGCAAGTTGGCGGATCGGTCCGTCGGAACGTTCGCCCCGGCCTTGGTCCGGTCGTCGTCGTCCATGCGTTCGTTCGGTATATAATACTCCCTCCGTTTCGAATTACTTGTCACAAGTATGGATGTATCTAAGATGTATTTTAGTTCTAGATACATTCATTTCTACGACGAGTAATTTAAAACAGAGGAAGTACACGGAGTGGATGCAGGGCGCTTACGCCAAGACTTCCGAGCGTTCCACACGGCGCATGTGGCCGTGGCACGTTTCGTAGCGGAGCCGGTACATCTGCACGACCGCACATCGTGCCACACCGTGATCGCAACGTTCCAGCGTAGGCGTAACGTATCGCGGAAAGTCTCACCATACCGAGTGGTCGCCGCAATTATTTTGACGAGAAAAATAACAGTTCAACGGCCACCGATGATAATCATGTGAATTACGGCGACCTGCCATTGCCATGCGCGAGAGGCAACCCAGCGTACGCAGCTACGCCTCACCACGCGCGCACGCCGACCGACCGGTACGATGTCGGCCTTGGCCTAGCTGGCCCGGGAGGCGTGCAGGAAACGCGCGCGCCGCGGTTGGTTGCGGCGCCAGCGTCACGCCGGTTGGGCCGTGGGCGTCAGCCCCGAAGGAATCGCGTGCGCGCGCCGAGACTTCGACCGGCCCGCCTCGCGCTCGCGCCACCTCCGCCATCGGCGCGCCCGACGTGTCGCGCGGCGATACCCACGCGTCGCGCGCGCCGGGACCGCGGCCTCCCACCCCATACCGCCGCGCCAAGCCTCCATATATACCCCTCCCGGTGCCTCCCCCACTCTCACCACCGCTAAGCGATAAGCAGCACTGCACCGCACTCCCCACCTCTCTGATTGACATACCGCCTTAGCAGCTAAGCCAAGCCAGCCTCGCCGTCTCGCATCCCAGCAGCAATGGCGTCTCGCGCAGCCGTGGTGGTCGTGGCCGTGACCGCGCTGCTGTTCGCGGCGGCGTCCGCGCAGGAGATGGACGCGAGCATGCCGCCGGCCCCGGCCCCGGTCACGGGCGCGGCCGCCGGGGCCGCCGCGTCGGCGCTGGCCGTGGCCTGCTCCGCCGTGCTGTCCCTGCTCGTCGCACAGTAGGCGGTGAGCTGGTGGTGGTGGTGGCGGCGGTGGCGGTGCGTCGTCGCTCGTCCGGCGGCGACGGTCACTTCGCTTCTGAGTTTAGGGGGAGCAGTAGTAACGAGTAGTGATGGGTTGTGTTGTGTTGTGTTCGTCTGAGTGGGGCGTGGGCGTTACTCCGTTGCTTAATATTCTTTTGTATCATACATTGCTGCGTGTATTATTTCTGTCTCGTGTGTCGTTGGTTCTATGAATAAAGATTGGATGGTGGTTCTATTTCTGTATCTCCGGTGCCGCGTAATCGGTCTCTCGTGTGTTTGTGTGTGTTGTGTTAATCTTTTCTTCATTGTTTGCATTTCAGTTCTTGTTTTCTTTGCTCGACTTGCCACCATCTGCCTATGTTCATAGGCAACGAACCTGAAGACAGTGACCTGTTACCAGTAGTACCATCTAGGACCAGGAGCCTAGGAGTTCCTCATCTTATTGCTCCCCTCAATGTTCTGTTGCTCGTTTATTTCCGCGCTTATAAATTTGTCTCCGCGAGAATCAAGCTGGGCTGTCTAGCTGCTACGAACCTGAATCAAGCACATTCTTCCGCACGATCGATCGATTGCACACGTAGAAAGATACATAGTCCGGTTACAGCCTTGGCATGGAAGAAGGTAGGTGGTGAGATACAGACGAAAGCGGTACGTGTGAGTTACAAGACGCTTTCAGTGTTTTCCCTGTTAGATTTAGACAATTCACATTGATTGATTTCCTCCCAGTAAACTCGCCCACACAAGGCAGCAACGGGGAAATGAAGCTACGGTCTAACTACTTGATATCTCGAACAACTTACAATGAAAATTAGGAACGAGGAAATGAACTGAGAAGGACAACGAAGTTCAGGTCAAATTCGTTTTGCACAATTCGTGTAAATATCTAGATGGGACCTGCACTGCAAGTACCACCGAGACCTTGCAGGTTTCAACCCGCGGGCCAAAGCATAAATTCACGTATGGAAGGATCTGCGTTGCACTGTTCTACCTGTATAGCCTGAACAAATTATTTACTCCATGGACGAGAAACGGACAGGATGTACCACTACGAGTATATACAGTGCCTTTCGTACACGGGCAAGGTAACGACGTGAAGTTCTCATGTTCGACAGGAGAACTCCTAGCCCAAAGACAACACAATGATTGTTCATGACAAGGAACCCGTGATGATCTGAGGCATGACATCTCCGCTGTCGTTAGGTTTACAGTTGTCTTGTAACTTTTTTGGAGATTTACGGCGGCAAACTGAAGTTTCTGCATTCAGCAGTGAAGAGTAAGAACCACGAAAGTCTTGAGAAGACATGATCCAACGGTCAGGAACCCTCTGCTTTTACAGCAGCTGACTACCTGTGGATTATAAGTTGGCAGCAACCACCAGCGGGAGAGAAAGTTATGGCTCCCTAAGTAAGTACGTACTTCTCTTCTCAACTGCTTCCTTCTGGATGTTTTGAATTGTTCAGCGCAAAACAAAATTCAGAAGTGCATGGTCAGATGATTGCAACCTCAGCTTAGTTATGGAAGAACGGTATTGGAAGAACTGCATCCAACCAAAACAGACCTTAATTTGAGATGCATGGTTTCATGTCTTTACCTATAGATGTAACCGGCTGAGCAAGTACGCCAATCTACATGTTGGAACAGAATTTTCCATCGGATATGCAAGCACAGGTTATACATATCAGAATTTTCCATCAGAAAGCAAGCAGAGGTTATACATTATATTAGAGAAGACCACCAATAGAGAGTACCAACCCAATATTTCTTGCATGCTCTATACTTCCATTGTCGGCATGAAAATGAAGCACAGCCACCGTTGCCGGCTCCTCCAAGCGCCCATCGGTGTAGGCATGCTGGAGAACATACAGTACTGCACGAGTCAAACCGAAGAAGCAAAGAGCGTAGGAAAACAGACAATTGACTAATATAGAAAGGAAGGAGAAGAGAACCACTATGTATGTTACTCCCTCCGATCCAAATTAATTGACGCGGCCTCTATACAATGTCCTGCGTCAATTAATTCGGATCCAAATTAATTGACGCGGCCTCTATACAATGTCCTGCGTCAATTAATTCGGATCGGAGGGAGTATTATTTTGCACAGTTCATTACATGAGTCAAATTACAATGGTTATATTCCGAGGCCATCTGACAGTCACTATTTTACAAAGCATGGCTTTGATGAACACACCATTTAGCTTATCTTCTCAACGTTCCACGTCACCTAAGCTAGCACTGATTGCAGAACACTTAATATTGCCGGTCTTATGTAGAGTAGAGGCGCTAGTTCAAAGTTCAAACTATGGTAAATTATTTGCACAACTTATCATCAGCAGTTATGAAGTTACTGCCATTAGAATTTTAGTTAGGCTTCATTCGGAACTGCTGCTGCACATTAAGTATGAGAAGGTAACAACGGGCAAAATATCACTCTGGGGCACTAGTCAAGTTTCAGTTGATAATTCACACATTATATAAGATGTATACGGGATGATAGATTTAAATCGGAAACAAGATAGCATATGTATACCTTGTAGAAACATCGACCACCAAAGGGGCAAGTGTCCCTTCCAAAGTCAAAGTACCTACAATCAATTGACCTGCAATAACATATTTGTGGCTTAGACAAATGTAACATGAATCGACATCTACTCTGAAGAACATACAAATGAAATTTTCTCTGAGGTACTATTAACTTAAAGATTATATAGTGAGATGCATGCTACCATTCGATCTGTTGTTACTAACTTAAGAATTTCCTTATTTCCATCTCAAAAAGTAAAAATCCATACTGACCACATAAGGACGGGCATCATGGTAAGACTAAATGAAGAAAAAGGAATCTTACTTGAGCTTGGCCTTGTAACCGTCAATTATATCCTGTTTTTCCTCCTTCGAGGAGTACCATGTAGCACTAGGAATGACGTAGTACGAGACTTTGCGGCATATTGGACAAGCCTTGACTGTAGAGTCGATATCCATAGAAGATGTAAGAGAGCTGCTGCGCCACTTCCTAATGCATGTGATACAGAAGGCATGGTCACATTCAGGTAGAAGCCCAAACCTCTTTTCCGCTGCTGTGGGCTTTGAAAGCACACGGTCCAAACACACACTACATTCCATCTCTTCACTTTTTTTCAAGGTCTCAAGACGTTTGTTGTTTCTCTTGCAGAGCTTGATATGAGCCCCACCTTCGCTGGGCCGGTAGGGATGCAAGCACTGTTTTCCACAGGTTGTGCATGGATCCCCATGCATCTGAGGGCACTCTTTCCCATAGGGACAAGTTCCAGCTGCGGCAAAAGAGCATATGGGCAGATGAGCAAGTGGGTGGAGCGCTTGGTTTTGTGCAGTTAGCGCTGATGACAAGCTGTTCCCATCCTCTGGAATGCAATCTTCATCATCAAATCTCCAGGTAGACTGATGCACAGAGCATACCGATAAACTTTTGTGTGTCTGGTTGCTCACATCTATTTCCCCCTCACAAAGAGGACACCATGACAGATAAGAGTTGGATGGTGCAAGTGCTGCAGTAGTTGATGGTTGGGTGTATTCAGAAGAAACTTCAACATGTTCATATCTGCAACGGCTGCCATAAGAGCACACACCGTTCTGGTAAAATGTGCAGACCTGCGTGAATAAGCATTACGGTGATGAACACTAGACTGTTATGAATGTGCAGGCTATGAATGCAAATTGACCAGAAGATTACTAAATATGTAAGTTAATATGTTACATCATTTGGTTGATCATTCCAGTCATGGGAGAATTGGCAGTAGTCTCCTTTAAAGCAAGCACCATTCACAAAGAACTTGCAAATGGACCTGATGGACATAGAAAGCAACAAACAAATCTGTAAGTGATTCCACCGATATTAAAAGATTCTCATCTAAGTAGAAAAAAAATCAACAAATTAGAAAGGGAACTGCGAAAATGCTAGTTGAAAGCTACACTTTCATAAGCCGCGCAGTGCTGATACGCGACTCCTAAGCCAAATAAGAACATATCACTATACTAGGAATCATGGTGATCAGTTCCTCGCGGATCATCATCCAGACAAGTGTCGCTCGCAGCCTCATGTATTCAGAACTTGCATTTGTCGTCTATTTTTTCGCTAATACATCATTGTTACCTTGTAATTTTGCTCTCACTTACTTATAAGGAATTCAGATATTAATTGCCAACACCATCATTCCCTTCTGTCAATTGTACGTACCGTGACCACTGTCCTATTTCTACAGAAGTCACCATCCCCTTCATTTTCGCCAACTGAATTGCAACCAGGTGTTAAATTGTAGGCGTGGTACCATTGCATTTGTACCAGCCCCTGATCGGCAATAAAAACCTGGGCGGCTCGATAGAAAACCCAATCAACACATAGTGATTCACAGTATACCACAACCACAGCCACAACCATACGAGATTAGCGATGACCCCTCGGAGTTCAAATCGGCCACATCAGCGGCCAGAGGCTTACTGAAATCTGAAATTGCATGCTCTGTCACGCCAGCGCCAGCTCGATTACCTCAGATCACACCCCCAAAAAAAAAGCAGCAACCTCACTCAAATCATAGTCTCCTCCAGGCCGCGCGCACCACGAAGGTAGCACAGTAAGCTAAATCCAACCCAAAACCGCTACGCTCGTTACAGGCACCGATTCCACCTCCAAGCTCAACGACGCCGTCTAAACCAGCTCGAATCATCGGCCGCGGGGCCCCGGAGCGAGCTAGGGGAGCGGAGAAATCGCGGTACCTGTTCGACATGGCCGCCTGGCCGGGCCACGCCCGACGGAATCGAGCCGAGCCGCGCTGCCGAGCCGTGCGGAGTCCGCCCGCCGGGGGGCTGTGGCGCCCGCCGTACGCCTAGGGTTTGCCCGCTGACGCGCCGCGCTTCGCTCCCTTGCGTCCCCTTCGCGCTTCCGCAGCTCCGCTTTGCTTTGGGTGGTGGTGCCGCTGCGGCCCAGCGGGGGATGTTTTTTCTTTTCCTATAAACGGGAGGGAGAGAGGGACGGGCGGGGCGGGCGGTGCCGGTTCTACCCCTGGAGCGTGGCGGGGAAGGGGGCCGACGGTTGGGGGCAGGACGGTCAAAAGCAAGGACGCGGGGAAGCGAGGAGGGCGTGGCGCTACGCTCCCGCCGGATTGCGTGGGCAACCGCTTTTTTCCCGGAGGCAGCGGCGAACGTGACGTCGTGGGCTGCCCGCGATAAGGAAGCGTGATTATTATAGTGGGATGGAAGGTAACGCGCGCCGTTCTCTCTTTGGTGTTTTATCTACTATCTACTATTCCCTATAAAAGCATGAGAAGGCGGAGAACCAAATCATTTTATCCATCGAAACTTGCAATCCGATGGTCTACATCCCTCCAGCCTACTAAACGTGTTTTATGCTTTAATTACTCACCATGCCATCGTTAATGAAATTGGCCACTTACGAAACGTAATCCCCTCGCTAATGAAACGACTTAAGCCCCACGCTCGCGAAACAGACTCCCCGCCACGCTCGGGAACTGCTCGCCCCCACGCTCGAGCCCACCACGCTCGGGAACCGTTGCGCCCCTGCCTCCCCATTCTCACCGTCGGTCGCCCCACCCCGCCCGCACCGGTCGCCTCCCGCCGCTCAGCGC